TATAACCAAACGTCTCAGAGAAATAAAACCCATAGGGGTCTACTGTCATATCTAGGATTTGGGAGCAAGTACCTCTTGTTAAGAATGAACTACTGCATACAAGTCTGTGAGTAGTCCTGGGGATAGCTTTTGGCTGCCATCTGTGAGATGCAAGTGAACACACTCTGGTCTCTTCCCTATCCACAGCTACTGACATGGAGAAAAAACAGAATATTTTCTGGATGGCTGGTTATATTGTCATAAGGAAATCTCTATGTACAATGAGGAGACTTTGTAACTGAATAAGAGAATACAGAGGTAAACAGGAGAGAAGAGTGAAAAATGCATAGCAATAATTCAAATAGTTATAAATATAACATAACAGTACAGAAATGTTTTGTTAAATCATTCTTAACAAATCTACTCAGGGCCTACATTGAAATCCAGGACAACAAACATGCAGTCCTACATGAAATCTATGTTCATCCAGCTAGAACATGAGAGCAAATGCCCTATATACAATAGGGGAAGGAACAGAAACTGTCCCCAGAAGGCATTCTAAGATAGGTTTGATATGAGGGAGAAAAGAGCAGCTTTTGCTAAGATTAAAAGTAATAATTAATTTATTAATAATTTGAAGTGTATTTTTAAGAACAAAATAGTATCTTCCTGCTTTGAGAGATTTTTCTTCCCCCCATACCAATAACAGCTTTGTTGAACACTTACTTCTTGCAAGCTTCACCTAGTTTTGAACAGTATGTTCCAGAAGACATAGAGCATATATTTTTATAGGCATGCTGTCAAAATTAACTAAAGGGATCTACTGGAAAAGTCAAAGAAGAGTATTTTACTTCTGTACTGGTAATATTTGTATCTTTCCAAGACTTGTGCCTGCCTTTAAAAAAACCCTTCATTCAGTAAAAGAAGAGAAATAAGCAGGCTGCTGGAATCTAAGCATGAATTTCTGAGTTGATAGCATGTTTTGGAAAAGAACATATAGAGACTGAGGCCTCATCTTTGCTGAACCAGCTGGCTCAAATTTGATCTGATCCCATTGCAAAACAACATCTGAGCTAAAAAGATTGGATTTACACATTTGAATCATTACTCAAGCTGCTACACCCATGCATTTATTACTAAGACTGGCCTTAGTTACATTCTGATTTCAAACTTCCAGACCCTGAAAGGGCGGCAATACTATTTATCTTTTGAGGTAGATACAGAAGATTTGGAGTAGTGTGAAAGCTCAAGCAATTCAGCCAAAATAAGCACTCTGTATGATGTTTACATCAAATATGTTTCACAACAAATTGATTCATTGATTGGCTGGAATGAATGCATTTCACTTCCACGCTACATGGCATCAGCAAAGAACTGCCGGACTCCTCTACCAGAGTAAAAACCAATTGATGCTCTGTGAATTTTATTTTCTATTCACATGTAGACAGAGTCCGAAGTCCTGTGATGCATCTTCTTTCACACTGTAAGTTTTGTGGTCCAACGGTGTAAAATTTTTATATTATCCCCCAAGAGTTTTGCAATATACAATTCAAGAAAAATAAAAAGGTTTTACCAGAATAGTTTGAATGGGCATAGGTGTTGTCCCTGCAAAGGAAAAAGCTGCACTTTAAAAAATTATTTTTAATAAGAAAAAAGCATTCTCAGAATTACTGGCAACTAAAAAACCTAAACACACAAAATACGCTCTGTCCAAGGTCTTCTTTCTGCAGGCACAGAACACAATTTTTTCCAACTCAAACTATAAATTTGACTATTTGCAAGAAATGGAAAGTGACTGAGGCTGGACAGGATAAATTATGAGGGTGCTTCAGAACAGGGTAAAAAATGCAGACATGTCATTCAGTGGTTGAAAAAGGTCAGAGTCTGTGCCTGTGGGAAAAGACAGAATTTGGAGGAGGAGATCAATCTACTTGCAAAACTTCATGAACATTACACCAGCATCTGTGTTTCCTCTGGAAAAGATTTCAGTAGAGATTTTTATATAAAGTTATTTCTTCTGCATATAGTTATATTACTCTGTAAACATTCCAACACAGTTTTAATTTATGCTTCCTTCCCCTTCCATGCAATACAGTACCTTACTTTTTTTCAGCTTTATATACCCTGGACCCGATCTAATTTCTCCAAGACTCAACTCAAAGCACTTTCACACTTCTGACAGAATCCAACGGCTCTTGCATCCTGCAGGGTTTATCCTGCTCATCGTGCCGCTGGCGAGGCTGCTGTATACCGTTGCCTCAAGGCTGTGACACACCAGACCTCTTATGTTGTTCTACTCTCACCTCCCACTTCCTTCCTCCTCAGCTGTCACCTTTTTGTGACACAATAGCAGGCCCAGATGTTGAAGTCTGCTAGATTACACAGAATATTGTACCCCACTTAAGCCTCTTCATGCACCCAAGTACATCAGACAATTACACTGCCATTCCTTAAAGATTCAATAAACATGTTTAACACTATAGAGATATATACAGTGGTTTAGAAGTAGACTACTACAGAGTTAAAAATAAACTGCTAGGAAAACTTCAAATGCTGGATTATTGCCATTGCATGTTCACTATCACACCAACTGCTTTTGTGCATGTTCTCAGCAACAATCAAGGTAAGGTACAAACAGCAGAACCGTAATATTTACTACTGTCACATCTCTGACTAAGTATGGATCATTCAGGCTTTCCCTATGAAGCCCCATAGAATATCAGAAACTGACAGGGAAAAAGAAAAGGTACAACGTTCATCAGCTGCTAAAATGAGTTTTAAAAAGTTTATAGAATATGGAAGTGACAAACAGTGAGATCAAAACAGATTAATCACTAACAATAATTTGACCACATAAACAAGAGCCTGAAGAGGTAGTCATCTGTTTCAGAAAGCAAGATTCAGAGAATTCACATAATCATCTCGAAATATTTAGTGAAATACAGAACTCGCTAATTACAGTATAATACTACTAGATCTGGCCTCATAGTTCTACCAGCAGGAAAAGCAGCTACTTTGTGAGTCTTTCAAAGAGAATTTCCTAACCATTCTGGGTGTATGGCACAGTGACATATTTCTCTACCACGAATTCCAACAAGAAAACTAACACGCATAACAATTATATATTTTAATAGCAAAATCAGCTGATATTCACAGCTACAAAAACAAGGGCAGACCAGCTGATTATCAAATCTAAGCCCCCAGAATTACAAACAAGTAACACCCAGAAGCTAGCATTATGCATAAAGAAAAGTAAAAATCCTTCTGGCCCTTACAGGATCAGTAGAAGCTCTGAAGGACAGAATTAAGTACAGCAAAACCACATGATCAACAAACAACAATAAAGACTCTTTATAATCCTGTTCTTTAGCACAGCAAAAATTTAAGACCTTCAAAGCTGGTATCACAAGATTTTTCTAACATTACAGTTTTTCCAGTCCTATAACGGAATCATATTTGTACACTTCTCAAAGCAACACACGTTAGGCTCTGTCCCCTAAGACACCCCAGAAAGCCATTCCACACACAGTGGAAATCCGCTCAGAAAATCTTTACCAGCAGTAATTTGCACAAACTTTCTTTTAAGCTAAATAATAATTTATTCCGAAACTAGTTACAAAGAGTCATCTTGTAAGAACACCTTAAAAACACTGCCAAAATCCTGTGCTTCTATGCAAAGTGCTGACTTTTTCATAACGCAAATAATTTATTTGCCTCAATGGCAGTAGAAAAGTGCCTTCTCTTCCCAAAGCTACTTGTGTAAGGACTTTTGCTTCACTTTTCTACAGATGAGATCTTTCATAAGCTAAAAATTTTACCATTGTAACAGATGCAATACACCCATTCCAATGACATGTTAATTGGTCACTCCACACTTCTGCCACTGTAACATTGGCTTCTTGAAACCCTAAATGCTGAGATCCAATTGACCTTACTCCAGCAGAATGCTGCATCGATGTACAGCAAACCTGTTAATGGCACTTAACATCCAGGTATCAGATCAACATAATCATAAAAAGCAACTTACACAAATAAAATATTTCTCTTATGAGAAAGAAAGGCTTAACCTTTCTTTCCGTTCTAAGAATTCTGGCCACCAGTAGATGGTGTTTCTGGAAATGTCAAGCAGTTTTTCCCCCCCTACAGATGAAATGTAAAACTCCACCTGCAATACTGGTGGTTTTATGCAACACTGAGGCTCCACATTCTCTACAAAATCAGCTTACTTTATCCATGTGAATTTGACTTGAGCAATTCTAAGAAGTGTGAGGATGTCGATTGTATACCTGAAAATTCAAATATTAACAGGCAAAATGGGATCGACTTGAAGGTAGGAAAACTAAAATTTGTATTGTCAGTTTAGCAAATGCCCCTTCTCAGCTGCTCCATTTCCCTCAGTTGTAGATCTCTCTTCAGATTGTCCAGCGGCTTATAAAAAATACCACGTATACCAGTAATTATTGCTTTATATCCATGTAAAATGGGCTTAGTCACAATTTGCAAATAAATCTCTTGATTATTCATCAGGTGGGGCTGTAGGTTTGAAGTGCTATATAATTGGGGAAAAAAAAAATGCTAGAGGCAGAAAGGGGAGGGTAAAATAAATGAACATTAGGCAAAATAAAACTGACAAATATGAGAGAAGATGCTTGACTACTTCTAGTAAAAAAGAAACCAGCAGAAACAGGGTTAATTCTAGCCTTATAAGGCTGTTCAGCAGCAGTTCAACTGCACACAAATTAGAACAACCCTGGGAATCTATAAAGCTTGTTTTATTGCCAAGGACATGCAGCAAGATCTGCATTTTGCTGTTGTAAACTCTCCCTTATTCAAGACGTTTTAAAACAGAATATAGACTTTTACAGGAATTTTTTTTTTTTACTGCTGAATCATCAACAGGTGGCATTCCCTGCAGCTTTGCACACCTAAAAACGAGTTTTTACTGAAAGACACTCGAAGTTGACATATCCATTAAGGGTGTACCTGAGCAAGAACCAGCCTTCTGTTGTCTGGAGGAAATTCAGCTCTGGAGAAATGGAATTAAGGTAAAATAAAGTGTTTCACAGTACGTGGTTACCTGTAATGCTTGTAATTGCTTGGCTTTTGGTGGCCTTTCAGATGTAATTAAAATCTGACCGCAGACTGACCTTTTAAAATCAATTGCTTAGACTGTTAATTTGTTTTTTATTGTATTTAAAGCAGTTTACTGCCTTATTCAAAATAAAAGTATGTTAGCCAAGATACAACAGCTCGTGTCGGACTTCATAGCTGCTTGAAACAAACATCAAGTCTTCTTGGAATAAGTGTAATTCCATATAGCTATTTTAGCATAAAGATTTACATGAGGAAATTACTTCAAAACGTAGCAACAGCTGCTGTGTACTTGTTATGCCTATTTCACTAGCAAATAAACGCTCTGGAACAGATATCTATCTAAGTTTCTGCTAGCTAGTGCCGATAACCTGGATACATTTAAGCAAACTCAGAACTATATTTCTGACTGAAAATATTCTAATGTTCCTACTCCATTAGTGGTCTGCTCCTTTTCTTCACCCAGACTGTACACCATCAGGATTTAGGTCATTAAAATGTCGAAATATGCCTAAGTTTTACTAGTAAGCAATTTAACTTTTTTTTAATAATGTTTCAGTGTAATTAAAATGAAGGTTTTAGTAAGAACACGAAGATTAAATCAATTCAAGATATTTAAAATTTAACACAAAATACCATGGCTTATTTTTTTCTTGCTGTTATATTTCTTTGGGGTCTCTTTTGTTTGTTTGCTCTAAATAAACTTCTAGCAATGCCTCCAGTCCATAAGCATTCAACATTTCTAAGTAAACAAATCAGATAGCTGATATTTTCCATTCCTATCCGGAAGTCAGTGCGACATAATTAATCACAAAGAAAAGCAAATTGAGTATAATAATGCTGGTGCAAATAAATATGCTGCTTGTATTACCTTCATTTCTAAAACTTGCCTTTTCCTTCCCCCTGAAAGCAGAAAGAACCAACTGCTTTTCATCTCCGTTGCCTTCTCAGCCACACACTCTGCTACTTAATAGCCTTACAAGCTGATGATGAAATAATTACATATATATAGCCATATATAAAACAATACACTTCTTCAGTCAGCTAAACTCACTCATCTGAATTTCTATATTCCTACATTTTCCCATACTGAATCCCTGAAGGGTACACAAAATTTTAACAGATCTGCCCTCACAATATATCGTCTAAAAGAACTTAAATTTGTTCTAACCGAACCTTTGTATATATATTCAGACACGATGCTTCCTACAGCCTCAGCTGTGTCTGTTAAGTTCACAGAAGCATATGGTACATGGTACAGTGCTGGAGTATGAGATTAATGGTTTTCCATTTGCAAATTGCAGGTCCAAGGATGTTCACTGATTATTTAAAGAAAACAAATGGAGCTAAAATTCTACTACCTTCCAACCTGCATGAAGAAACATTGTTGATGGAAAGATTTTATTAAAGAGACCCAAGTACCATAATGGTAAAAAGATTCCTACATGATCTTAAGGCATACAGGAACTGCAAATTCTCTCATTTGCAATGTATATAGTGTCCTGTAAAAAAATTTAAGAAATTTACTATTTGTACTGTTATATTTCAGTCAATTTCAAGTCTAATTTGACTTTTAAAAAATTTTAATTTCCTGTAAAGTATACGTCTGTTTCCATTCCAACCAAAATGCTCACTATGAACTTAGTTCAAAACAACCAAAATTCTGTTTCTTTTGGCATTACCAAACTGTGAGTAGTAGTACCTTTTCTGCAGATATTTTAATCATGGAAACTTATTCTGCCTCAATATCACCTGTTATATGTAACGGCACAACTTTTAACCTAAATGGATCACATCTGTGTAATGAAAGCCTATCTTCTAGATTAGCTGATAAATCAGAACACCAACAATATGTTATTGGTCTTTTCTTATCGTGTCTTTACACAATATTTCTTTTTCCTATTGGTTTTGTAGGAAACATTCTGATACTGGTTGTCAACATAAGCTTTCGTGAGAAAATGACTATCCCAGACCTTTACTTCATAAACCTTGCAGTAGCTGATCTCATTTTAGTTGCTGATTCTCTCATTGAAGTTTTTAATCTTGATGAAAAGTATTACGATATCACTATTATTTGTACCTTTATGTCTTTGTTCCTTCAGATCAACATGTATAGCAGCATTTTCTTTCTGACATGGATGAGTTTTGACAGATACCTAGCACTGGCAAAAGTAATGAGGTCCAACATATTTCGCACTATGCAACACGCTAGATTAAGCTGTGGTCTCATATGGATGGCGTCTATTTCTGCAGCACTAGTTCCATTTACAGCTGTGCATTTACAACACACCGGAGAGGTCTATTTTTGTTTTGCAGATGTAAAAGAAATCCAGTGGCTAGAAATAACCTTGGGGTTTATTATCCCCTTTGTGATCATCGGTCTTTGTTACTCATTAATTGTTCGAGTTCTTATTAAAGCACACAAGCATAGGAGTCTTCGTCTGCGGCGACAAAAGGCTCTTCGAATGATTTTTGTTGTTGTCTTGGTTTTCTTTATCTGCTGGCTACCTGAAAATGTCTTCATCAGTGTTCAACTTCTTCAAAAGAAAAGCGATCCTGTCTCTTCAAACAGCCCATCCTTCAGACATGATTATCCTTTAACAGGACATATTGTGAACCTAGCAGCTTTTTCTAATAGCTGTTTGAACCCCTTAATTTACAGTTTTCTAGGGGAAACCTTCAGAGACAAACTGCGACTGTATATTGAACAGAAAACAAAAATGTCAACCTTACATCGCTTCTGTCAGGCTGCCTTAACGTCTGTCATTCCTGACAGCAATGAGCAATCAGAAGTCTGATTTAGTAGTGGTTGTATAAAACATTCGACTAAAGTTGTGCAAACAGTGAACAAAATGCATGCTACTAACAGAAAGAAGTGTGTTTGTATATATAAATATATTGTATAGCTCTACTGAGTATTGAAGGTTTATATTCAAAATGTTTTTATGGCAAGACTTTGATGTAGAAGAATATGTTTTAGTCAGGCTTATATTTAATTATGAACAGGATTATTAAAAGCTGACCACTGAAGAAGCTTTATTTTGTATTATACATGTATGAATGACAACACAGAAGAAAATTTTATCAAGTTCGGAAGACTCTAGATGTAACCTGATTATCAGAGATTTTTGCTGGTGTATATAAGGTACTTCCACTGAAATAATGAAGCTGTCGTAACAGTGGGGAAAATCATTACAACATATTGACGTGGAGATGCAGAAAGCATTGATTTTCTTCATCCAAATACGTTAAGATAAATGACTTTGCTTAGAAGAGATACATAGTACTATCGTCACTGTATTCTAGCATGTCTTCCACTATCAACTTTTTTTTAGTCTTAATATAATCTAGCAGGGTGGTGACTTTTTGTCTCATAAATGTAACCTACTGTTTACATCAGTACTTGAGCAAAACTGAAATCGTCTGTAACAACATTGCTCATCTCAAAGAGCTTCACAGAAGCTAAACACAATGCTTCATTCTCTTTTAAGGATTGCCCAACACAATCTTTGCCAGGACAGACATAATTGGGCCTGTCAAAAATGCCAGTGCACATATACGTACACTCATATCTGCCTCCAGATTTAAATGCAGGTTGCACAAGTTCTCTTTACTTTTAACAGGCCTATTTTGACTGCCAGAACAAAATGTGGTGGCTTTAAGAACAAAGTCACTTTCTGCAAAGGAATTTAAGAATTGTTTATGAAAACGACAGAAGCCTCAGTTTTTAGGAAGGAAGAACATATGTAATGGGGAGTGTGATGAGCTAATATCAAATTTGCACTGTGTGCACCATCCATCCCACCTCCTGAAACCACTGGCCTTTCAAGACTTTAAGATGCACGTTGGTTGCTTTGTTCATTTGAAGATTAATTATACCAAGAAAACAAATGTTTGTGCCACATATTTGAAAACAATGGGTTTTGATTTCTCCTAGAAAATAATTGGGGTTTAAATCTGACTGATGTTTAGCACTGGTTACTGCTGACCTTGTTCAGAGGAAGCTATAAAGTTCCTAGGGATTAGTGCATATAATCATCAGAGCATCACTTGCAGCATCTCTGAAGTGAACATCCACCTCGGTGCTCGTTGAGCCCTTAGGCACCAGGACTCTGCAGAATAAGATGCTTTGTCCTATTTTCAAATGTCACGTATGAATTAACACATGCACAGATTTTAAAGGATTTTTAAACGTAGGCACTTGAAACAATAACTAAAGTTACTAGGCAATAAAGAAAACAGTGAAAACAACGATTCCACTCATATTTCTCATGAAATATTTAGTTTCCTAGTGGAAGCTTTGGCCACAAAAGACTTGACCTATAAACAGAAAGGCCACAAGACGATGGCTGAATTTGAAATAGATAGCTAGATATTCCTGCTACTGAAATAGGAACTGCAGGGTGGAGTTTGCAGCAACCGCTGATTATTTGCAAGTGACTGATAACCACAGTCTAAGGAGAAATGTCATTTAGTTGCACCTTCCCTGTAGAACACCAAATACATCTTCTCTCAAGAAAGATGCAAGCATTGCCATGCCTTCACTGCATATACAAGTTACTAAACAACACGTAGCAAGAAATCTCGCACCATTGTGCTACATCACACACAACCCTTTTTCCTCATTATTTTCACTTTTGGAATTAGCCACAATTACTCATACCATGTTGACTGCCAAGGTGCATTAATCACACCTTGAAAGGCAGCTATTTCAGTCAACACAGAACTGAAGGAATGGATAATTCTCTTGGCAATGCAATTCTCTGAATAAGACACATCTGAGATTACAGATATATTAGGTTTGTGTAATCTTGACACTTGCCGTGGATGAATAACTTATTTGAGGGTACAGGAATATATTTTCCCAGTTGTAGTTGTTGCTTATTTTGTCTTTATAGGAGTAAACTCCTTGACCCTCCTCCTCCTTTCCTATATAGGAATCTGGGTTTTGATCAAAGCTGTAGCAGAAGCCCTTTCATCACTACTGTAGATAACAAATCAAGAGAAGTGTCTTTGCTCAGAGGCTTACAATAATAAACAGACAGTAATAGCAAATGCCTGCTCATACATACTATGAAATTGTTTCTACATGATCCTATTCAGTAATGTCCTGATACCACAGTGAAATCTAGGAAAGATCAGATTACTGTACTATGAAGAAAACAGTATTTACTCAACCTGAAACAACCTATTACATGTTTAAAACCAAATTACAGATCTAAACTACCTGATGAGTACCTTACTGTTGATCTTTTGGTACAAGCTTATGAACTGATGACTAAATTTACACACACTACTTTAAATAAAAAGTACTCTCCCAGGTGAAAAAATGGCACACTTTCCGAAACTTTTTAACAGTAGCTATGTACAAAGTAATGTTTACAGAAATGCCATGCACCTTCCATGTACTTACTATATAGTGTGCTTTCTGCAGCCCATCATCTTGCAGTAACTTGTTACCATTGCTTATCCATGAACCAGAGACCTGTGCTTTACGTAGTTTTCTTTAAAATTAAAGACCATGATCATCAGTAAACAAAGACTTTTCTAAAGCGTAGCGAAAAGGGCAAAATGAGAGTAAGAATTTTGACACAACTTATTTCCTTTTCTCTGGTGACTCACAAATTGTTTCATTTAAGGAAAGAACTCCATATGCCTTTCTAAACCACTAAGCTGCTGACAACTAGGAGATTTAACAACCTGTTTATCACAGATGCTTCCAATCTTCGCTGCAACAGTCTCTATCAAGTCTCCAAACAAGAAAAGACTAGTATTAGGGAAAGCTGGGGAGTGTAATACCTTAACACAAAAATGTTGTGAATGCACAGAGAATTACTATCTAGAAACAAAATAAATCCAAACAGCACAAACTAGCACCAGTCTGAACCTGATGCAACCAAAAGCAAGTCTTCCCTCAGCTGTGTAAAAAGATAGGAGAAAAATAGTTATCTGAGAGCACTTTAACATGTTAGAGATGCTGTAACTGCACCCTTTTAACAGTTTTAGGAGATACACTAAATACCGACTGTGCTGACACATCTAGAAAAAGCAAAGTCAGTCAGTCTAAAGGTAAAGGTTGATTAATTTATGAAAAGCATTACATGATGTGAGCATGTGTGACAGGGAATTTGAGTCAGACAATCCCAGATTCTGTGCAAACCTGAAAATATGGGCAAGATGCAAGAAAAGTCACACCTCCCTTCCCCTTTTGGCTTCACAGAAAGTCAGAACACTAGCATTCAGAATAGTCAACCCACCAATTCCAAAAGACAACACATGCTATAAAATAATTAAAAAAAAATCTGAATTCTTAAAACACTATGTTCTTCAATATTGTTTCTATCAGATGAAAAATGACAGAGGTTCATCTTATATTCTATCAATGTAATCTGACATTTATATTATTAATTGAAAACGGCTTATCTGGCATAGAAAATCCATTCTAAACTTGCAAATAGGCAGGCTTTAAATAAAAAAAATGGAGCACAAACTTTTAACAAGAAGATGGTTTTAGAATCTCAGACTAAGCATCTGTGTTTAAACCAAAATTCACTAGCTGTACGATGCAGGGTCTAATCTTTTTTCCAGCCATCAAGTTATATTAGAAGCTAACGGGAATTTTTCCCCGTGTAAGGATTTTGCTGTATTCTCTCAGCTGTTTATTAAGACTGCAAAAGGGAAAAGGTTGTCTGGACAATTTTAAATGGTTAGGATTGTAACATTTAAAATCTGTTAAGAAGTGGTTTACCATAAGTAAAAGCATGTCAAGTTCAAGCCTGATTATCATTAAATTCCATTTGAACTTGTTTCTGCATAAGTAGGAAAAATAAGTGAGTGTATGAAGAAGGCAGGTTTGAATTTTAATAGCTATTCACGAAGCTGAAGCAATGAACTAGTTGGATTTTGATTGAAAGCAACAAAGATAAGGGTGTTATTTTAATTTAAGGGACAGTACCCTTACTTTCCACTCTGAAGTCTTACCTTAGCCATTCACACCATCCAACAACTATTTCAACCTCTCATCATAGAAGAGCATAGGGCCATTGTTTAATTCAATCAAAGGAATTGTATCTTTGCAACAGAAGTTGACACATTACCAATTACATCTACAGCAGCCCACCGATACACAGACGTAGCCATTCCTTGCTCAGACTGTTTACGTTAAGAAATTATTATTACTTTTACATTCTGTTTAATAAATATGTCACCATTAAACCATTTCTATCTTGGAATCGCACATTATCTTTTTTAAGTTAAATCTGCAATAACAGATGATAGGGAACAAGTAATTTTTAAGACATACACAGAGACCATCTTTTCTGTACACTCTTAAGCTCGGCTGTCGGGGAGGTACCTTGTGGTACGTGCTCTGCACTATGTTTCAGAGAGACATGCTGGATTTGAAAGTCTGAACACCCTCCGTTCCTATTTACAATTTAGGTGTCCTTCCTTCAACAGTATTGTCCAAACTATTTATTCCACATTGACATATGATACACCAAACTTTTAGCCCTTGGGTTTTGGCTTCCTTGTAGCCTTCCATTCACACAGCAGCATGACACAGCCAGGAGCTAAGAATAAACAGTTGCATACTGAGCCAGCCACCCAAGATGACAACAAAAAGCAATGCCTTCTCAGGACTTCAGACACTGCAGGATCAGCTCAATACTTTCAACTCAGTTGCTTGCACGCTACTTCAGTTATTTTACATATGTACAACGAATTACACTGCAAAATTCAAAGACGACTGCCAGTCTCGCGAAGCAACCTGTGTGCTCAGAATGGCTTTTGAGGTTACTCAGC